CAGGGCTGCTTTATAGGAGTGGGGGCGGGGGGAGTGGGCGGGGTTCTGCACAGCCGCGCTGCTTCCGGCTTCAGATCGCAGTGCCGGGTGCAACATCTCTGCACACGGCTCGCTGCTGCCATCTTGAATTGAGTGTCGTGTGCAGCACTTCTGCACACGGCCCATTGAGCTGAGGGGTCGCCGCAGCCATTTTGCACTAGGAACTCTGGTCTGAAGAGCCGATGCAAGGTCTCTGTATGCAGCCCCTACCCTGTGAGCAATTAAAACTAGACTAAGCACAGAGGAAAAGGGAAAAAAAGGTTAGACTTTATTTCATTACCTGCATTCTATTTTAATTTCCCGAGGATTGTTCCTGAGCTTTGCCAATGACACGAGGGGCTTTGAGGAGAGGAAGCAATGGAAAGTTAATGTGTAATGGGTACAGAGTTTCAGTTTGGGAAGATGAAAAAGCTCTGGAGATGGATGGTGGTGATGGCTGCCCAACAGTGTGAATGTCACTTAATGCCACTCAACTGCACTCTTAAAAATGGAAAATTTTATATTAGGCATATTTTACCACAATATAAAAAAAAATTTAAACAGATACCTAATTATAATAGCTAAAACTAAATCTTGGGACTTCCCTGGCAGTCCAGTGGTTGGGAATTCATCTTCCAGTGTCAGCAATATGGGTGTGGTCAGGGAGCTGAGATTCCCACATGCTTTGCAGCCAAAAAAACATAAAACAGAAGCAATATTGTTACAAGTTCAATAAAGACTTAAAAAATGGTCCATATAAAAAAAAAGTTGAACATAGAATTACTACCTGCAATTCCACTCTTAAAGATACACCCAAGAGAAGTGAAAATATGTTTTCACAAAAATTTGTACAAAAAATGTTCATAGCAGCATTATTCATAATATCCAAAAAGTGGAAATAACCCGATGTCCATCAACTGATGAATGGGTAAGCAAAATATGGTGTATTCATGCAAAAAAATATTTAGCTATGAAAAGAAATGACATTGATACCAACTACAATATGAATGAGCCTTGTATACATTATGCTAAGTTAATGAAGCTAGTCAAAAGATCACATACTATATGATTCAATTGATATAAAATATACAGAATAGGAAAATCTATCGAGATAGAAAATAGATTAGTAGTTGCCAGAGGCAGGAGCAGGGGTGCAGAAAATGGGGAGTTACTGATAGAGGGTACAGTGGTTTTTGAGGTGGGGATAATGAAAATATTCTGCAATTAGGGACTTCCCTGGTAATCCAGTGGTTGAGAATCTGGCCTTCCAATGCAGGCAAGGCAGGTCCCATCCCTGATGGGAGAACTAAGATTCCATGTTCCTCGAGGCGACTAAGCCCATGCCTTGAACATTACAGAGCCCATGTGCTGTGGCAGCCATGTGTCAAAACTAGAGAAAAGTCTGCCAGCTGCAAGAAGATCCTGCGTGTGCCGAAGCTGAGAACCCAACCCAACCAAACAGAAAATAAATATTTGTAAACAATATTCTGCAATTAGACAGTGATTATATAAGATTAATACAACCTTGTGAATATACTAATTTTACACTTTAAGAATGGTGAACTTGTATGTGAATTCACACTTTTTAAGAAGGAGATGAAACTGCCCAGAGGGGAAACAGGGAAAGTAGACGGTCCCAGGGTTCTACCCAGAATACCACTGGGACCGGGGCAAGGCGCCCCTTCCTACCTCCCTCTCCCACAGTTCTCCTTTCATCTCTCCTTTTTAGGCCACCCCACCTCACCCCACTATGTCTCAAACCCCACCCTGGCTTCTTCCCCAACAACATTCACCCCATGGTGAGGCTCCCTCACCCTTGGGCCCCCTCTGTACTCACCCAACTGGTTCTGATACGATGGCATTTCGCATTTCCTAGTAACTGGCGTCTGGAAGGAGGGGTCCAGGGTGTGGAGCGGGTGGCCCTGTCTACCCCCTGTGATTGTTTGCTTGTGTCCTGGTTGTTGCCATGGGCCCCTGAGAGCTTGGCAAACTAGGACTTGGAGAAGACAGGTACTGTGGGTGGGGGTTCAGGGGGTTCTTTTTCACCAAGGTCTTTGTTTCGATGTAAGGAAACCTATTCTCCTGGGCTCAGAATACCCTGCAGCCCGAGGTGAGTGGACCCAGGTTTCCTAGCACACGATGTTTTTTCACTTTTATCGAACACCTCCTACATGCCGGGTACAGCGTTGAGCCCTTTGGGGGAAGGTGCGCCTGGGAAGTGGCTCCATTACAGGTTTCAGAGTCAGACGGGCTTGGGTTCAAATCCTGGCTTCCTGTTCTGGGCTGTGAGGCTTCAGAAAACTTTCTTAATCTCTCTGGTCTTTCATATCCTTAACTGTAAAATGAGGATACCCCTACCTGTTTCCAAGCGGTTTGATACGGATGTAATGTTCTCAGCACAGAAATGGGAGACTGAGAGCTCCAGGCAGGCAGGGACCCGACCCATCGTGTTTACTGTAAACACGTGTTTACATGGCGTTTGCGTCCCCAGCTCTGCCCTCCCAAGACATCCCAGGTGTGCTTTTCACCTGCCCCGCTCCACAGCATGGCTCACGCCGTCCCCTCTACGGGGTCAGGGGGGAGTTGCCCTTTCCTCTACCCCAGTCTCCGCTAATTGACATCCTCCCTTTCTTCAAGGTCTGGCTCAATGCCACCTGTATCCCACTGGAGTGATTTCCGTGCCTGGATCTTCTCCCTGTTTGCGGTGGAGCCTCCAGAGCTGAGGCTGAGGGGTGGCCTCCAACATCAACAAAGTGACGAATTGCATGGGCTTCTCTCTGGATAAGGTACTAACCTCCTCTCTGCCTCAGTTTGCTTGTCTGTAGAATGGACTTAATGATAGGAGCTACCCAGAAGGGGGCTCTGACATTTAAATGAGGCGATGCACTTAGTTTGGGGCCTGGCACATAAAAAGCCTCCAATAAACACTGTAGATCTGTGCTAATATGGTAGCCATGTGGGGCAACCTATAATAAAATTAATCAAAAGGTAAGTTAATTAAAACTAACCACATGCTGGGGAAGATTGAGGCCAGGAGGAAGAGGAGGTGACAGGGTGACATGGTTGGATGGCATCACCAACTCAATCGACATGAGTCTGAGTAAACTCCGAGAGAGAGTGAAGGACAGGAAAGCCTGGCATGCTGCAGTCCATGGGGTTGTGAAGAGTCAAACACGACTTAGTGATTGAACAGTAACAACAACCACATTTCACATGTGACAACTGCCTACCAGTGATGCCCACTAGGAACCACCCCCAGCTACAGAACATTTCCATTGCTAAAGAAAGTTCCATTGCATAGTGCTGTCAGGCATGATGATGATAATGTGAATTTGCAGTCTGGGTCACGAAAACCGCATAAGGGTATCTCTCATACCCCTCAGCTCCTCATAGCTCCTGGGGGGACCCCCAACTCCTCCTCCTGGCCCTGCCTGCCCAGCCTCTGACATCCCCAGGGGTAACCAGAGACCCTCCCATCAGGAGGATTAGGGCAAGAAAGGAGACTGGTGAGAACCAAGCAGGATTAGGGGCTAATGAGAGCGCAATGGAGGAACCCAATCTCCACGTGCTGCCCGCCTGGCGGGAAGTAGGTGTGGGTGGCAGCAGAAAGAGCCTGGAATGTGAAGAGGGGAGGGGCCAGAGGGTGGAGAATTACCTAACTGCTCCAGAGTGTATGCAGCAGACGCCCTGGACGGAGGAAGATGGCCAAAGACAGTCCCCTTCTCCCGCACCCGATTCTATCAGGGCCCAGAGCAGAGAGGTTTCACCCGCCTCAGCTAAATCGGTCCCAAGATAGCCCAGGCAAGGGGACCCGGGGTGTTCTGAGGGGAAGAGAGCCCTGGGAAGAGGGCCTTGGGCTTGCCCAGCCGTTGGGTCCGAGGCTAGACCAGGGGAGAGTTTCAGCCCATGCGGACCCCCCTCCCAAGGCCTGGAAGAGGTAGCTGCGTAGCTATACGGTGGTCTCCAGCAGATGCACTCCTGGTTTCCTTACAGACAGTCATGGACAATGTGGCCTCTGCCCTCGGAGCTTCCGACAGCTGGAGCATAAATCTCTTAGAGGTGCACAACCTTGGACAGTCTCCATGTCTCAGTCAAAGGACTGGGGAACCTTCTGGGTTTCCCTCATCACCTGGCAGAGTGGTGGGGCACCCCTTACTGATCAGATGTTTAAAATCCCAAGGAGCACCCATACTGCCTCACGGGCATCAGCGTTCCCCTTCTCTCCCTTAGGACCCAGGGGATGCAGGATCTTGGGCAAGGCCTCCTGTGTCCTCATGACCTCAGCCATGAGAAGGGAGGTAGGCAGGGCTGAGGGCCCTCAGCCCTTCCCTGTATTGAAGGCACACCCGCCTCCTCTTGAATATGGACACTTGTTGCAAAAAAGCCATGAGCCTCCCACCCCAAAAAAGTGACTGACATATTTACTAGACTAAGCCCCTGACTGCCAGCCGGCAGGGCTGGGTAAGGGTGATCTTGGCAGGACCGTAGGTGCAGGGTTTCTTCATTAGTGAGAGGGGGAGACCGAGGGTTGGAGAGGAGGGTGCCTGCAGGGAGCACACCCACTGTTTTATTAGTATTTGCCGAGTATTAGTACTCGGATTAGTACTCTTTCCCCCTGAAGTTGCCCTATCCCTGGAGAGGCCTGGGAGCACCGAAGGGGTTCTGCAGGCACCCAGGCTGGACACCCACACCTTGGGAGGCCAGCCTCATTCCCTCCCAGCCCCCTCCCCCTGGCAGGGGGCCTCTGACACACCCTGCTCTCCCCACCTGCTCCCCTCCCCACCCCCCAGAACTGTCCAGAGCCAAGCTGGGACCTCAGTTAATCCCAGTTATGTAACGTGCAATCCAACGGTTGGCCAAGGAGGAGGCGCCCTGGAGCCACGCCCAGGAGCGGGGGCAAAAGACCTGGCTTGGTCAGGGCCAGAGAGCAGGCTCGGCCTCTGACTGGAGCGGCCCCCGCCCCTCCAGCCTCACCCAGCACCATGAGCGGCCGAGTGGGAGACCTGAGTCCCAAGCAGGCAGAGACCCTGGCCAAGGTGAGCCGAGGCAGGGGGCAAGGGCTGAGGGGCTGAGGGAGCACGGTGGCCGGAACCCTCCGCCTCTGCTGGGCTCAGCACGTCCTTGGCACTGTCTCTGGGCCATCATGTCACACGGGGTCAGGTCCTACGATGCCCGGGGACGTCCGCCCTGTCCAGGGCAGTGGCGGGGGGAACAGCACCGTTTGCAGACGGTGGGGCAGGTGCCAGACCTGGAGAACTTTATCTGAACTGCCACCTCCCCACCTCCCCGTGGGTGGGAGCCGAAGATGCTGAGGCTCTGCCCACAGACTCTGTTCCTGTTCACTCTCTGGGACCCTGGGAGATGACCTGTCTGTAAGAGCTAAGAGCCGGGGCCGAGTGTGTATGTCATCCCCACGGTCATTGGGGAAGAGGACGCATAACCACTAACCATGTTTTCACAGAAAATGGGATGGAAAAAAAGAAGTTTTGGGGGGCTAACGAATGAAAAGAGCAAAGAATACATTCGCATCTCAACCCAGCGACCCACCAACCCACCCATCTAGCTTTTCCTTCATTCCTCCTCCCACCCCGCCCCACCCAATGATCTATCCCTCCTCTGTCCATTCACGCCCCCATCTCTCCTTCTGTCCATTCATTGGTTTCCTCTTCCTTTTTCCCCACCCATTGATTCATCCACCCATCCTTCTTTCTATTTACTCACCCATCTAGCCTTCCTTCCATTCACCTTCCCATCCCTCCGTCCACCCATCTTCCATCACCGCAGGCCAGACTGCACTGGAGAGAAGGAAAGAAATTGAAAAAAAAAGAAGAAATGTATCACCGAGTCTAAGCTCAAGGCTCTGTGTGAACACCTCTTCAACCAGCATCTCTCTTCCCAGTTCCGAGAAAATGTCCAGGATGTGTTGCCCGCCCTGCCCAACCCGGATGACTATTTCCTTCTGCGCTGGCTCCGAGGTGAGGGCGGATGTGGGGGAGGTCAGGGCGAGGGGCAGCAGGAGGGACCTGGTACAAACTGCTCCAGAAGGACCCATGGCTCGCAGGATCCAATCACATCATCTTGCTTCACATTCAGGTCCCAGAGAGGGGAAGGGACAGGAAAGAAAGTCCCCTCTAAGGCCCCCGGTTCCCTCCATAGCCCCGCCACCTGCTCAGGGCCAGGACAAGATGACTGTGAGGTAGCCTCTTTCGCACCTCACCCCTTCCTTCCATCTTCCCACAGCTCGGAATTTTGACCTGCAGAAATCAGAGGCCATGCTCCGCAAGGTGAGACCTATCCCTCTCTGAAACTTTGGTGAGGGTCTTTGTCGGGGGCAGTTCCTGCCTCCAGGCTCTACCTCCATCCCCCCCTTACCACTCATCTCCCTTTCAGTACATGGAGTTCCGGAAGACCATGGACATTGACCACATCCTTGAATGGCAGCCCCCTGAGGTGAGCCAGCAGCACCCCCCCACGCTCGCAGTCTCTGACAGACGTACCATTCAACAGCCTCGGCATCACTGGGGACCGTGAGTAGAGGGCAGCAAGCCTGAGAGGCCTGTGGAACCCCCGGGAAACTGCAGCCAAATCTCCTGTAATAATTATGAATATCTCCTATTAAGATCCAAACTTGAGTTAAGACTGAACCTGCATGAACTCATTGGATCCAGCTGTACCCATTGTACACATGAGGACACTGAGGCTCAGCAGAGGTTACGCAGCCACCCAGAGTCCCACAGCCCCGAGGCGGAGCCGGGATTTGAGCTCAAGTCTCCAAACACAGGCTCTTCAGCAGCAGTTAGCTTGTGGCTCTGAGCCCTTACCCCCTGGAGCCTTGCTCAAAGCATCCTGTCGAGGTGGGAAAGAAACTTCTCCCACGGAGGAGTCAGGGAGAACAGGCCCAGTGTGGTGCCTTAGTTAAACAACAGTCCTAGTTTCATTTGCGGAGCACAAGCTCTGAGTCAGGCAGGCTGCTATGCCAATGTGATCTTGAGGACTTTCCCCAACAGAGGAGGGGGGGAATGGGGCTCAGAGAGGTGGCGTCACTTGTTCAAGGGTGCACAGCAGGGAAGCAGCCGCATCTGTTTTTTGAACCAGCAATGCTCACCTTTAGTATCCATGTTTTTCATCACTAAGCCCAACCCCTCTCCATGGAAAGGGGCATGGGAGACTTTGGGGGCAGAACTCAGGAGCCCGGAGGCCTCTGGCAGGCCTGGCTGAATCTCGCCTTTGCCCTGTACCTGCCGTGAGCAAGGCCCTCCCCTGCAAGCCCCGCAGCTTTCTCGCCTGGACAGTAGGGCCGCCCTCCAGGGAAGGGAAGGGAAGGTGCTTGGACCAGGGTGTGTGCAGGCTCAGACCGACCACGGCAGCCTGGCTTGGGTCTCTGTGCTCAGTCGCTCACTTGTGTCTGTCTCTTTGCGACCCCATGGACTGTAGCCCACCAGGCTTCTCTGTCCATGGGGTTCCCCAGGCAAGAATACTGGAGTGGTTTAGCCATGCCCTCCTCCAGGGGATCTTCCCAGTCCGGGGATCAAACCCGGGTCTCCTGCATTGCAGGCGGATTCTTTTCCGTCTTTTCCACCAGGGAAACCCAAGGCGGTCTCTGGGAGATTGCACACTGCCCAGTTCCATGTGTCTGTCCTCACGCAGGTGATCCAGAAGTACATGCCTGGGGGCCTGTGCGGCTATGACCGAGAAGGCTGCCCTGTGTGGTACGACATCATCGGGCCGCTGGACCCCAAGGGCCTGCTCTTCTCGGTCACCAAGCAGGACCTGCTCAAGACCAAGATGAGGGACTGTGAGCGCATCCTGCATGAGTGCGACCTCCAGACAGAGCGGGTGAGGCTGCCCGGGCCCGCGGTCCCAGGGACACACCTGCACCCTCAGCACCACCGTCAGAGGGCTCTGGGCTCACACACCAGCTCCGACACTTCCCAGCTGTGCCGCCTTGGAAAGTCACCTCACCCCTCTCTGAGCCTGTCTCCTCACCTCCAAAACCGACACAATGATAATGGTTGCAGAGATGAAGTTAGATAATATGAGTGTGTGGCCGGCACCTGGGGCCTCTCAGCAATGCTAGCCACTACGATTCCCTCTGAGTCTCTGCCCTTGCTCTTCCTTCTGTTGGGATAATCCAACCGCCGCACACACACGTTCCCCCCCAAACCACCGTTGGCTCTGTCCTGTCCATCTTTCAAGTCTCAGACAGTCAGCTTCTCTGAGGCCCCCATCGGGGTTAACGTGCATCCCCACGCCTCCTGTGCTGTCCGGTCTCGGCTCTCAGGTCAGGACCGTGGCGACCCAGTTGCTGGTCAGTCTCCCCAGCCAGACTGTGAGCTCTTTAAGGACAGGAACACTGGATTGTTGAGCTATATGACATACTCTCAGTGACTGGCTCAAAATAGGTGTTTAATAAATACTAGCTGGACAAACGGAGGGATGAATGGATAAATGAACGGCCGTATGAAGGGATAGATGGGTGAATTGGTGAATAGGTGGGTCAATTAATGGATGAGTGGGTAGGCGGGTGGAGGGTGGATGGATGATGAATGGGTGATGGACAGTGGATGGGCGGGTGGTAAATGCAGTCACTGTTTTGTCCGCTCATTCCTCTGGGGACAGAGCAGGGAGCTGGGAGAAGCCCTGGGGGGTCACGTGCTGAGGCACCATCTCCCAGGCTCTGAGCCTGCACCCTGACCCTTGCTCTTGTGCTTGCAGCTGGGGAGGAAGATTGAGACCATCGTGATGATATTCGACTGCGAGGGGCTGGGGCTGAAGCACTTCTGGAAACCCCTGGTAGAAGTGTACCAGGAGGTGAGCAAAGGCCCCGGGCGCCCCGCTCGCTTTAACCACCAGCTTGCCCAGCTGTGACCTGGCTGCTCGCTCAGAGCCAGGATCTAGTAACAGGTGGCGGCCTTTCCTGGACCCCACCACTGCAGCCCGGGCCCCATCACTGTGTTTCCTGAAGACCACATACTGACCCCACAGGGGCCGGCTTCCAACAAACCCTCCCCTGCCCTGCCACCTCCGCTCTGTGACGCGGGCAAGTCACTCTATCCGTCCACGCTGCGTTGTCCTCACCTGCAAAATGGGGGTACTGGTTGTCTGCACTCCAAAGGGACATAGCCACACTTCTGTGAGTTGAAACATAAACGGCACACACCGTGCTTGGCAAACATGCATGTATTCTCACTCCCTCCGTCGTGACCGACTCTCTTAGACCCCGTGGACTGTAGCCCACCAGGCTCCTCAGTCCTTGGGATTCTCTAGACAAGAATACTGGAATGGGTTGCCATTTCCTACTCCAGGGGACCTCCTCGACCCAGGGATCGAGCCTGCATCTCCTGCATCTGCTGCATAGGCAGACAAATTCTTTACCACTGTACCACCTGTGAAGCCCCAGTAGTGAACATTCAATGAACAGTAGCCATCACTATCACTACTACTGTGGCTATAAGGTTTATTCTAAAGATGGTTAATATTATGTAATTATTATGAGAGTGTGCTCACAATGGTCTGTGGAGAGGTTTCCTCCAGGGACCATGGACATGATGGAAAGAGGGGAAACCCTCTGCAGCCTTCTGAAGGCTGCAAAGGACGGGGATAGGAGAAGAGGAGGTGTGGGCTCTGACGGGGTCTTTCTTGGTTCTGCAGTTCTTCGGCCTCCTTGAAGAGAATTACCCAGAGACCCTGAAGTTCATGCTCATCGTGAAAGGTGTGTGGCAGGTGACTGCACCCCTCTGTGCTCCGGCCCCTTATCTGAACTCTGAGGACAATAATAGTGCTTTCTTTCCTGGAAGCAGACAGGCAGGTTGGTTGCTTGGCTGCGTGCAAATCAGAGTGCCTCGAACAGAGTAAGTGCTCCATAAACAGCAAATTCTATGGTTGGTTTTCTTGCAAGAAAAGGCAGCTCCAACCCCAGCTTGTCCGGGAATCCCCCCTCACCTCGCCTACCCATGTCTATCTCTCCCTCCTCAAACTGCCTCTGCCATTGGCAGCCCGTGCAGCCCAGTCTGGCCTTTGCTGCATACTGCCTTCTGAGCCTGCAGTTATCTTTATGTATTCATCCTGCTGTCCTTGAGTTGTCTACTCCTTGAAGGCGAAGCCTTTGATTCTTCACTTCTCTTGTATCCCTCACAGGCCTGGGGCCAGGTGGGAACTCAATAGTATTTGGGTACTTGTTGTTTGGGTGGGTGGATTGATGGAAAGATGGCTGTATGTTGATGGTTGACTGGTTGATTCATTGCTTGGTTTGTTGTCTGTTTAACCAACCAGTTGGTTAGCTGACTAGTTGACTGTCTGGTGGTTGATTGCATATCTGATTGGCTGATTGGATAGTTGTTAGTTTGGTAGATTGATTGAGTGACTAATTAGCATTTTGGTTGGCTATGAGGGTGAGTGTCTAGTTGGCAGACTGGTTAGTTGGTTTGACTGGATTGTGGATGGTGGACTGCTGGTTGGTTATTTGAATGGTTGACTGACTAGAAAAGGCAGTTGGTTGGGCAGTTAGCTGGTTGTTTAACTGACTGATTGGTTTTCTGCTTGACTAATATGTCAGTTGGTTTGGTAGGGCTTGGTTATTTGGTAGGGTGGCTCGTTGATTGGTAGGCTGGTTGATGGGTTGGTGAGTACTGGTTGGCTGTCTGTTGGCTGGTCTGCTGGCTGTTTGGTGCACTGGATGATGGGGTGGTTGGGTAGTTGGCTGCTTGTTGTCTTAGTTGGTTGGATGGTTTATCAGGTGCAGGGCATTGAGACTTGCCAAGGTAATTCATGATTCCTCCACGCTGTTGGCTCTGACTGTTACGGAGAGAGTGGCCCAATGGAATTATTTTTTCCCCATTATACTTGCTTATGTCTCTCCAGCTACAAAACTGTTCCCTGTGGGATACAACCTCATGAAGCCCTTTTTGAGTGAGGACACTCGCAGGAAAATCGTAGTGTTGGGAAGTAAGTAGTTCCAGCTCCATTCCCTGAACTCTATTCATGAACTTTGGGGTAAGTTGGCCCATCACCCCCATCCGGAGGCCCGCACATCACCTAGAGTCAGAGGCTCCTCCCTCTCAGAGGTGTAGCGGGTCTTACACTATGGAATCTATCCAGTTACCTCTGTCTTACTCCCTGCCCTACCTCTTTGATGACAAGGCCTCCACAGCGTCCTCCTTATCAGTCTCAGCTTGGTTGCTGGTCAGCCTCTGGGCTGGGGGCCTCAGTTTCTTTATATTAACCTTCCGTGGCCATGTAGGGGGGATGACTTGGATTCGTCATAGGGGTGGGGGCCACGTGACACCTGAGAATCCAGAACACAGAGCTTTGCACAGGGCGTGAAGAACAGTAATGGGCTTTATGATTGTGATGATGAAGCAGCAGAGAGGGGGAGGTCCTTTCAAAGACCCCAGGCTGCCCCTCTTCCACCCAGAGGTCTGACTTGGGTGGGCCATTTGCACATTGCAAGGCCCCCAACATGGTCCTTGACCTCATTGGGGTTTAAAGTCTCCTTAAGGCAATTAGACAACATCAATCTTGACTACTCATCACTGGGAGACCATCAAAAATGGGCAAACCAATCAGCCAGGGAAAACATGTTTCCATAGCAACACGACGCCGGAAGACTCTTCTACAACCCAAGGCCTGAAAGGCTGGGGGATCAGCCCTGGCAGCTCAGCTCCTGTAGGCCTTCCCCCACCCACCAAGCTCAGGTCCTCCTGGTAGGAATGGGGGGTGCTGACGGGACCCCTCCATGCTAAATAGTCACCCTTCAACCCCTCTGCCCACAGGCAACTGGAAGGAAGGATTGCTGAAACTCATTAGTCCTGAGCAACTGCCTGCCCAGTTTGGGGGGACCCTGACCGACCCAGATGGGAACCCCAAGTGTTTAACCAAGGTATGAAGAGCCCCAGAACAGGGGAGGGTAGAGGAGCCAAGCTGGGTTCCTTTCTCATCCACTCATTCATTCCACCAGTGTCCACGGGGAGACACCTGTGAGCCAGGTATCGCGTGAGTCCCAGCCCTGCCCTAACAGCTCTCGGCAGCTGTTCAGACAAATGAGAAATGGGAGAATTTTGAGTCAGAGGGATGAGCTGGGAGAGGAAGTTCCCGGAAGAGGCCCTGACCGAGGCTGGTGGGACACAGAAGTCTTCCTGGGGGTGGGGAAGGACAGGATGAGCAGAATACTTCCAGAAGCTGGGGAAACGTCTTGGGCAGGAGACGCAGCCTGAACGATGCAATGGCTGGGAGCGGGGAGCAAGCCCATCCTGCTCTGTGTCCACAGATCAACTACGGTGGGGAGATCCCCAAGTCCATGTACGTGCGGGACCAGGTGAAGACTCAGTACGAGCACTCAGCGCCGATCAGCCGCGGCTCCTCCCACCAGGTGGAATACGAGATCCTGTTCCCAGGCTGTGTCCTCAGGTAGGGCTCAGGCCACCGTCCACACCCCAGCTGGACCCTCGCCCCTCGGGGATCTCTCAGACTCGGCAGCAACCCGTGCTCCTTCCCCTCCCCCCAACACAGGTGGCAGTTCGCGTCGGATGGGGGTGACATCGGCTTCGGGGTTTTCCTGAAGACCAAGATGGGGGAGCGGCAGCGGGCCGCAGAGATGATGGAGGTGCTGGCCAGCCAGCGCTACAACGCCCACATGGTGCCCGAGGACGGGAGCCTCACCTGCCCGGAAGCCGGCGTCTGTAAGTCTGCCCTGGTCAGGCCCCAGCTCTGGAAGGATGGAGGCACCTGTGCCATGGTTTAGAGGAAGACACGGAGAGGCTGTGACTCCCCCTCCCAGGGACATGCAGCCTAGATCAGTGCCATTCATCCACAGAGTCATTCATTCCGTCCACACTCAAGGGCACCCGCGGTGTGCAGGGAGCCAGAGACAGACAGGCCTTGAAGGGGTTGAGAGCATCGCAGGTCACAGGCAAGGGACAATAGGGGAGATGACTTTCCCCAGGAGGAAACTGAGGCTCTGAGAAGTAAATCAGCTTGTCCAGAGCTACACAGCTGAATGTGGCACCAGAGTTCTAGCTCAGCCTGGTGGTAGCAGCGTAACCCTGGCAAAAGTCCTGAAGGTCTTACCAACCTGGAGCCTTGGTTTGCTCACCTGTGGAGCAGAGGTTACAACTCCGACCTCTCAGGGTGCTTGCAGGGAGGCAGGAGGCATGTGCAGGCCTAGCCCAGCACCCCACTTCATCGAAGGGGGCTGGTAGGCCTCTGACATTCCCAGCTGCCCCCCGAGGACACCCCGCCATGTGACTGTCCAGGTGTGGAGACAATGGGATGCAGTGGCCATTGTTCTTCTTGCCAGCTGGTGCAACTAAAGCCAGGCTGGGCACATGCCAGGGGGAGGTTAGGGTCTGTTTACAGGCCCTGCTCAGGAGGGGCAGTTCCCATGGGGAAGAGAACAAGAGTGGGGGGAGCTTGGCCCAGCTTGGCAAACACAAGAGGTGGGAACACGACCTGTTCTCCCCCATGGCTGGGGCAGGGCACAGGAAGTACGGAGTCAGACCCAACTACCCGTCTTCCCATCTGTCCCCCCAGACGTCCTGCGCTTTGACAACACCTATAGCTTTGTCCACGCCAAGAAGGTCAGCTTCACAGTGGAGGTGCTGCTCCCGGATGAGGGCATGCAGAAATACGACAAAGAGCTCACCCCTGTCTAGGCAGCTCCCTCACTTCCCAGAGATCCTGACTCTTTGCTTTCTGCCTCTGTATCTTTCTCCCCACCTCCCTCCAAAAGTTGCTCAGTAGTCCTCTTGACTCTGACATTAGTCAGAAGAGAAAGGGCTGCCTTGGGGAAAACACATGTGCTGTGGTCAGATCAGGAAAAGTAGGGGAGGCACCACTTCGGAGGATGCTGAGGTTGTAGAAGAGGAAGAAGCAAGGGTAGAAACAAGAGGTGGATGCCCCTGCAACCCGAGAAATAGAAAAATGAATCTCCTAGCCTTTGTTTTCACTTCTCCTGAGGCATTTGTGAGCTTGAATTTCTTCCCCATGAGTTATCAGCAACTTGGGTCAGAGATGTATCTATATTCTTTTTACTTCTACCTCTTATATAAGTAAATGCTCAACTAATGTGAAGTTGAATGGAGGTAGGGAGCAAATGGGTGTGCAAGATAAAAAGAAGTCTACAAGGGGAGATTTCAGCACCTCGGACAGGGGCTGTGGCAGGGATGGTCTCTCCTGAGACTCACGTGACCCAGCCCCCAGATTTCAGGCAGTGGCTGCCCCCTGGGGTAGGTAGGAGCTGTTTATGGAAGGCTTTGTCTGGCTCAAGACACACAGCTTTCCCAACCCCTCACCTTGGAACCTTACCACCTTACCCTTACCACCTCCCCTTGGAAGTCACAGCTTATGTTTCAAGCAATTAAAGGCACTACCCTAAAAGCAAAGGAAGTCACATCTGGCTCTAGCTGCTGCCTGGCAACAATAAAAAAAAAAAATCACAGCTGTCATTCAGTGAGTTCTCTCGATGTACCATAGACGGTGCCAAGTGCTTTATGAGTTTAGCTCATTTCACTCTCAACACCTGCCCTGGGGTTACATATCACAGCCACATATGCAGAAGGAAACTAAGGCCCAGAGAGGTGAAGTCACTCTCCCAACACTCCACAGCATCCAAGACTCAGGTGTTTGTTTTTTTTCACTCCAAAGACATTGCTCTTAATTGCTCCACAATACCACCACCTAAGACTCTACTTTTACAGAGAAGAAGGGATAGCTTAGATTGTCCAGCGGAAACGTCTTGGATGTCACCCTCTCCAATCCCAGTTTGTGGGCAGAAGAGGATTATGCCCATTGAGCAATTGGAACAATGGACACCCCCGATGCTGATTAATCAGGTCATCCAAGGAAACTCACAGCAGAGCAGGCAGGGCTTGTGCTTCAAAGCCCAGCATCCAGTCCACTGCTCACATGGTCGCTGAGGACCGTGGCCTCTTGCCACCCACCATGACCCTAGGTGATGCGGGGAGACACCACAGCCCCAGGAGCTTCCTGCTCCGGAAGCTTCCTGCCCCATGGAGCTTCCTGCTTGAGCCCCAGGTCCTGATACATGTCTTGACAGGAGGAGAGGAGTTCCACAGAGAACGTGGGTGGGTGGGGACCGAATGACTTGAGGTTCCTTGGGAATGAGCTGAGAGCCCAGCCTGCTGGGGCAAGCCCCGCCATGGGCAGAAGAGGCCTGAGTCCGAGACCATTCATGCTAAGTGCAGCAGCAGCTAGCACTTTTCATCTGCACTTAGGGATGCGTTTTATAGATCAGAAACAGCGCTGGCCTCGTTTCCTTCAGCCCACGGGTGGCAGAAATAGGACTGGAGCCAAAGCCTCCCTCCTCCCACCTGCTGCCTCCCACCCTCCCACCACTAATTCCTGTTACTGCAGCAACTTGCCAGAACGGGACAAGACCGCCAACTCTCTGAACGGGGGGCTGGGGAGAGGGGTGGATAGGAAGGATGAAGAGAAGAAAGGGTTGTCAGATTTAGAAGAAGAAAAAAAGCAATACTTGGGACATGCTATTTATCTGAAACTAAAATTTAACTGGGTGTCCTATATTTTATCTAGCCACCCTACAAATAAGGGATGGAGAGGTGGGCAGAGAAGAGGTGGATGGATCCATGCTCTTGGAAGATGGTGGCAGTGCCTGCAGGTGGGGCAAGGATGTGAAGGGGGAGCATGGCTCAGCATTGGGTCTCACCCTTGCCCCCTGAGGGAAAGGTCCCACCCCTAGGCTGCAGCAGGGGTGCAGAGGAAGAAGGGGTGGACCGTTTCCACCCTTGGGGCTGAGGCTGCTGTGAGCTGTGCTGTTGGATTATCTGCATCTGTCCCAGCTCCTCGACTGCAGTTCACAGACCCCACTGTTGACAGAGGTGGGGACTTGCTGCCAGAAGGCAGGGGCAGGGGTAGCACAGAGAACCTAGGCTAGGGCTGCAGCCAAGAGCCAAAAGGTGCCCCTTGGCATCTGCTGATGCCCAGCCATGGCAAACACACAGCCACAGTGGGCGAGCAGGACCCCTCCTGCTCCCTGCCTCTAGGCGCCAAGTCTCGCTCAGAGCCAGGCGCTTTGTTCTGAGCGTCCAGGAGATGACATGGGGAGGGAAAGAGACCCCGCTTAGTCTTGGCCAATGGGCCCCGCCAGTCTAGCAGTGGTCAGTGAGCAGCATAGCAGCAGGAAGGCGGAGGCCTGCAGGCTGCCCACTGTGTGTGAAGGGGGAGACCGAGACTTTGCGGAGAAGCAAGACCTGAGCAACCCACAGAAGCCTCCTGGGGGCAGCCATAGTGAGAAGAGACATTGACCCCCTCCCCAACCTCCTTAAATTGGCCCAGAGGAGGCTGAGGAAGGAACGTGCCTCACCTGGAGCCCACACAGGAGCCCAGGGCCCGGCCGAGCTGGGCCAGGCTGAGCGCATCCACGTTCCCCCACCCCAGGCGCCCCCATCCACCAGCCGGCAATGCCTCCGGATTTTAGAAAAGGCTCTGAAGCCTTCTAACTCACGTGGGATTTAGAGTTAACTGCTGACAGATGGCTCACCGCACGTGGACTTCAGCTTCTCATCTGTAGGATGATAACGGTGGCACCAGGTACCGAAAAGGCCGTGAGAGAGTTTCCATAACAGCACCTGGCATGCAATAAGTGCTCCAGCCGTGTTCTCCGTGGGTGTCATTTGATGATTCTTGTCCAAAGAGAGGGAGCTGCATGATGATGAGGGGGGGAAGGTGGCAGGGAGGGTTCAAGGAGCAGGTACTATTAGAGATGGACCCTGAAGGCTGAGAACAGAGGGAAGTGGGGGTGGGGAGGGCATTCCCAGCAGGCGGCATGGCCTGAGCAAAGCCTGAGACTGGAGGGGTCAGAGCAGGCAAGGTCAGAGGTGCAGGGTGTGTCACGGTGAGAGATGAGACTGCCTCGGCAGGGATGCTCTGAAATCTGGGCTGGGATGTTCAGACTGGATCCCGGGGACTTCCAGAAGTCATAGAAGATATCAAGACACAGAAAGGACTTGAGGAGACTCAGTAACAATCAGGGTCAGATCAGAAGAATGCTCCTTTACACACTGGGGCTTTAAGGAGTGCCCAAGACTTTCTCGTATAAAAATAAAACCATGGCGATCACACTCAGATGCACATCTTCAAATCACCATCCAATTATTTCCTCTGGATAAATTCTTAGGACTGGAGTTCCTGAACCGTATAATTGGCATACTTGCTCTGTAAATTGCTCATCTGATGGATGACACAGTCACCAATTGTTTGTCCTTGAAGTGGATGTGTCTTGCCCATTACAGTCATAATAGTGATTAAATAGCCCCCTTGGTGAGACCCACTCTGGCCGAATTTGCAAGCCATTTCTCCTGTAACCCTCTCAGCAGCTTCAGAGGGTCGTTAAGGAGTACTGTACAGTGAGGGAACCAAGACTCAGAGGGGTTAGGTAACTAAAGTCACACAGCCTGTGAGTCAGCTCTACGTCTGAGTCTGTAGAGCCACGGGCTGGAAGGCAGTAGGAAAGGGGGATGGGGGAGGTGGGAGAGTTCAAGGGACTCCATCTCCAGGAAACAGAGACCCAAACACAGTGTGGATGTAGAGTAAATAAGCCACATCACAGGAAACGCTTAGCTTGGAATCAGGCCTAGTAGGAGTGACTGAATAACATGTATGCTTCTCAATAATCTTGAAAGTGGTTTGAACCCGCCAAGGTGGGCGGATTGGAAGGTGCTGCCTCCTCGTGGTGGTCCTGAGCATTCCATGGAGCGGCCACTGGGGGACCTAACTCCCAGCATACCCCAGGTCAAAGGCTACCACGCCCCGGGGGTGGGAAAAGACATCTCCCCCCAAATGAGGTAACACAAGTTAGTCCAGTCACTAAGAATTGTCCCCTGTCCCCTGTCCAGGAAAGAGGCAGTTGGAGAGTGTCTCCCACCTCTTGAGGGCTGGGGTGCTTGGGGGAGGTGTTCCAGCTCCATGGATGCCCGCCACCCCAGAGCAGAGTTGCAGATAAATACAGGATGCCTCGTTAAATTTGAATTTCAGATAAACAAGAATTTTTCAGTGCATATACATTCCATGCAATATTAGGAACATACTTGTACTAAAGTCTTATTTGTTGTTTAAACCAAACAAAACTAAATGGCGCATCCTGTTACTTTGTTATATCCAGCAGCCCTAGCCTGCAGCATCCAGAGCAGAACCGGGAGGGGCAACGGCCCATTCTGTGCCTGGTGCTCTGGACCTCCCAGGTCAGCTCTCACAAACTGCTAGGAGGAGTCTGCTAATCCAGCCTCACCAAGGGGGCTTCCCTGGTGGCTCAGCCGGTAAAGAACCCATCTGCCAGTGCCGGAGACTCAAGAGACTCAGGCTCGATCCCCGAGTCAGGAAGATCCCCTGGAGAAGGAAATGGCAACCTGCTTCACTATTCTGGACTGGAAAATCCCATAGACAGAGGAGCCTGGTGGGCTACAGCCCATGGGGTCGCAGAGTCGGACACAACTGAGCACACATGCACACGCACACACACACTGAGGGGCCACTGAAACTCCCGCTGGCTCAAAGGCACAGAGCGGATGTGTGCAGCGACCTAGGGGAGCCCTGGGGCTGCAGCTTCTAGGACGGATGGAGGCTCTGGCCCTAGGGGCTCCCATGGGGTGGGCTGGGGCTACTAGCAGAGCAGTGG